GTTTGCCTGACAGACCCTTCTATTGAGCTTTCATTCATCTGTCCACCAGCTCAAATGCACAGAGTGCCTCTTAAGCAACCTGGTAAAAATGAAGTCTTGTAAAGATTCATCTCAAATTTAAAGGTTTCAAACCAAAGTCACCTGCTACCCCACAAACCATTCCTCCATTTCTATTTTCCCCTTTTTAAAAACATATATCCTTAACTTTCTGCTGTTTTTACCTCAAAATATCAAGACTCTTCTCTCCGTTATGACCACATGCTATCAGGCTCTGTTGACTTCCTTCTAGTGGCTCAACTAGAAAAACATCAATCCTTTCCTTTTTCACAGCCAGCTGTCATTTTGGTCTCAGGTCTCACCATCTGACATCTTCTCAACTGTCATCCCTTTCCACTAGCCTCACTGATTCCAATCTATTTCTCATCGCCACAGCATTCCTCTATTTAAGAATCCCTAAATGGTTCCTTCTGACTATAGAAATGAGCCCCCAGTCCACCAGCCCCTCATTAGAGGTTTTTAATAATCTGGATTCTACCTATCTTAACTTTCATCCACTACTCTGCTTTAGAAATACCATGTTTAACATCATTTCTACACTCTCCTCCATACAAGACTTCTCACCATCACTTACATAATTCTGTTTGATTACACCTCTTACTTCTTCCTATTCTCCAAACCCTGTCAACTTAAGTCTTTTCTTTTCCAGGAATTATCCACAGTTAAATCTTATTTAGTTTTCTCAAAACTACAGTAGGTCTCCCTGAGCACTCTTAAGGACTCTGAGCCTCAAAAATGTAAAATTCTATTCACAAAAGGCTATGAGTACTCGTTATGCTGGGAACATAGGAAATGAATAGTTGCAATCCCTCCTTTCAAGGGACTTAAAAATAATACATGAAATATCATCTACATAATATGACATATAAACATAACATTTTATTCAAATATGGGAAATTCCAAGATGAAAGTAAACACAGTGCTGTGTGTGAAGTGAGTACAGAAGGTATTTAGTCCAGTTAGAGGTTAAAGAAAATCTTAGAAGAGACAGTATGTATAAGAATGTTAAAAGATAAGAAAGAGCTATCAAGACAAAGAAAGGAAGAAAATGAATTTGAGACAAAAGAAATAAAATAAATAAAACTGGAGACATAAATAGAATGCATGGGGGTGTGGTGCAGGACTAGAAGCAGATGAGTATCAATAGATAATTAACACTGTAAAACAAGAACTGGTGAAAGATTCAATGGGACATGACCAGAAGGAATAAGCCAGACATGCAAGGTTTTATAAACTATATTTTAAAACTTTTCATTCTGATCTATAAATGATGAGGAAGCATTAAAAATATTGAAGTAAGGAAGTTAAATGATTGGGTTTTGCTTTTAGAGAATATTTTCTCTACATTGTAGAGATCATATACAAGGGAATCCAGATAGGATAAAGGAGACAGCATATGGCAATGCTCCGGGTAAGAAAGGATGGGGGCCTACACAGGAATCCCTTCACAGATGGATCTGAAGACAGATTTGAAGATACACATTAGAACTAAACCCATTAGATCTTGCTGATTTTGTAGACACAGGAGTTTCAGGAAAACACGTTTCACATGACTCCTCTGTCTTGTCTGGGCAATTAGATGGTGATGCCAGTGATGACAATCACTGATAAATGTTGTCTTTAATCTTGACCTCAGATGTGATCTTTAGTTTAATTTATTCCATAAAATTCTCAAACTTAACATATCTAAAACTGCCTTAATTGTTATTTCCTGATCACCACCTTCTATCCCTTTGAAAATATTGATGATGAGATTCCACAAGTAAAGTATGTTAAAGAAATGAAGACAGGGATATACCCTGAGGTACACCAGTGGTTAATAGACACAGAGAAAAGGAATAACCCAGAAAGACCAGGAAAGAATAGCTAAAGAAGGAGGAGGAATACCAAGGCAGATGAGAATCAACAAATCAACCAGAGATTTTAAGATGGGGCACAAGATAAGGACTGAGAATACAGTCCTGGATTTGGCAGTAAAAACTCACCAATGAGTGTGGGCTCAAAATGTGATAAGCTAAAGAGTAGATGACTTACAGTCATGAAGTACAACTTAGCCTCTGAGACAGCAGGGGCCCTCAGTGAACTGGTGGTCTTTATTTAACCCATTGTTTTAAAGAAAACAAGAGAAAGCTTACAAGTATACAGGTTAATACTCAAATATCTCTTTCAGACAAAAGAGCAGAAGAAAAAAGTCTTAAGCACTGCCTTTGGTAGAGTTCTAACCACTTTTTTTATCCAGAAAAAGTAGGGAGTTTCTGTTCTCCATGGGAGCCAAAAGCATAGGGAACTGGCTCTTCCTTTGGTTCAGGCATCTCCTAGAGTCCTTAAACAATTCAAATTGCTTGCAGGGAGGTTGAGCATCACTTTTGTGAGGTGTCACTGCACCACCTTGTGGCCACTCTTGAGAATAGCGTTTTTCTCAACTTTCCCCTAGTCGGCTACTGTGTTGAATTACAGAAAAGATGTCTGCTGCTTAGAGGCGTTAGAAAACATCTCCTTATGTTACAGACAAGGAGAACAGAGGTAATTTACTCAATTTTTCTTTTTATTTTAACTTGATCATGGATATCTTATGCGTATGTGAGTAGTTATATATATATAAAGTAGACAACACAAAACACAAAGAAACTTTGCATTTTTACTCAAACCCAAAGGTAGCATCCCTGTCAGACAACGTAAGTCCATCAGATGGACAAAATGCAACAATATACACACAACAATGTTCCAAAATTAATCTTTATCAACCGCCATTCTGCTATGAGATTAACATAAAGTTTGATTTTCATTTGAATCTTTTTTTTTAATGCACATGTATACAAGTTCAAATGCAATGGTGAAATAGGAAACATGCCTACTAAGAGTCAAACCTAACGTGATAATCAGAATGTTTATGATTTTAAGATATAAAAATTAATTCCATAATATCTTTGTCCTTTTGCTTTCCTTTTTATCATATTTTTCTCTTTTCTGATAGTTTTTTAAAAGTGGAGGTTTCTTAGGGGAATAAAAGGCAAAAACATCACTCAAAATCCAGTGCACCAAGAGTAATCTTTAATATTTTGGCACCTTCAAAACTTGAAGTTTTCAAACCTGAAAGCTTTAACTTAATTACTAACTAATCATTTGTTAATTCTACTGAGTTAAGATTTTAAAAATATTTCTCATATTTATAAAAGTTATTTTACTCTTTATTTTAATCCCACCTAGCCAAAAATAGTCACCAACTCTGGAACTTTAAATTAATGTCCAATAGTAAAAACATTAGAGTTGACAAGGTTTGGGCAACCTTTGTCCAGGGTGGTATCTTCAGCCAGGCCACTCACTTGTTTATTAATGCTGTCTTTAATTACTTCCTAAATTCCTTAGTGCATTGGCTTCTCCCTGCATCTTTTTATCTGCTAATCCAAAGATGTTTACACTGAACCTGTATAATTTGAACGGAAGCACTCTAAATCAGAAAACCAGAACACCTGGGCTTTTTACATGTTTCAAATCATGGTAATGGACTCCTGAATATTGTATTAAAAGTAATTACATTAATAACAGTGATGGTAAAAATCTGATGTTTTACAACATTCTCATTTAATTTTAACAACTCTGCTTTACAAAGGAATGGTAATTAAATAATGACTCTACTTCACACAGCTAATATGTAGATAATGAACATCTGCCCCAAACCTTAGACTTACAGCTTTAGTAACCAGAATCCTATAGTCAAAAATATTTTTCAGGTGCTCAATGCTTAGTTTGCCCCAGGCTTTCTTATTCTTTCCTAACTACATCCCTATGATTACATTGTAAGTGCAGTAGAAAATATTTTGAAAAATTATACCTGCTTCTCTCTTTTGTCTTTTTTGAATAGTTCAGCATAAGGAGTCTATTTGGGGAAAAAAATAGAATATTTACAAAAATAATGCAAAGAGAAAAAGGGTACTAACATTCAGCCTCTGAAATACAATATAGAAATATTCAGAAGACAATATTCTACTGTCCTGAAAGAGGATCTTTCCAAACAATATTGTACTCACATCCAGCAGCCCACTCCAAGAGATGCCTTCAGTGTGGAGACACAGAGCCCTGGGCCCAAGAGTGAACCCCAATGAGACTTTCTGCTCAAAGACAAGGGGAAGACATGACTCTGCCTGTAAAAACAAAGACCATTCCTCTCCACTTTTTAATAAAACAAAGAAAGCTGGGGAGACAGGCAAACAAGACTAATAGCCATGTGTGTCCCAAAGATCTGCATTCCAGGCTTTGGCCCATATAGGATAAGACACATTAGTGTGATACTGAGGGAAGGAGGGGTTCCATAATGTCTGCTCCCAACTGAGGCATTGTTAGAGTCTGTAAACAAGTCTGGATGGCGCCTGACAAAATGCCAGAGGGAGTGGTTTGTGAAGTATCACCAGCGAGCCATTAAGTGTGGAGATTCCTTATTGGTTGACTGCTGTATCGAGTTTATGCTAATTAAGATAAGCTGTGTGGAATGTATAAATATCGCTCTGGTCCTACAATAAACGCTCCCACTCCTGCTGTATCAATCTACACAAGTTGTTTGTCACCCCCTGGTTATTTTGCTGCAGGCAGACTGCAACAAGGCATGTGGAGAATAATCACACCAGCATGACGTATGACCACATCAGTTTGGAAATCCAGTGTGGAGGAGATTTCTTAAGTTTAGCTTCCACAAGCAATCCTGTTGGATCCAGCAGATCAGCCATTGGTTCCACAGTGGCAGTAGTCTTATTGCAGAGGCTGAGGTGGATCTATGGACCACATCATTAGCTGAAGGGCATGGTGGAGACCCCAGGGATTGTAGCCAATAACAGCCAGGCCAGCCAAAGGGATACTAACAGGTTCTGAGCAATCCAGAACAAAATACCAGCTGTCAACTTCACGTAAAATGCTAGCAAGGCAAAAAGCAGCCAGGAAAACATAAACATCACCTGAATTCCAGAGAATATGCTTCCATAGTCCTCTGTTCACACATCCTTACCCAGAAGTCTAGATATCCTTTCTGGGAGAAACATGGAAAGAAGGAAAAGCAATTAGAATCTAGTTTTTTCCCCTAGAGAGACTGAGTAGTACTTAAAGTAACTGATTAAATTATCAGATTGCACTAATTTAAAACATGATGAACACTATGATTTTTATTCTCCCCTGGTAATCAACAAATGAGTCCTCCTTAAGAGGTTCCAGTTTTGGCTCTGGACAAAAGAAAAACATTTTCTCAGAGGTTCCAGATTAAGGTGACAGATTTAATACATGCTTTCTTTTCACTCTTTCCTAAAACTAGAACTACAGTAAAGGGAGCTTTCAAAAGACACAAAGCCACCAAAAAAAAAAAAAAAAAAAAACACGTAGACTAGGAGAAGATACCACAGCAACACATTTTGAAAGCTAGCAACAGCTAGAACTAGAAGTAAAAAAAAGCTATCTGAAATAAGCTGTGTCAAGTGAATACTATTTCAAGGGCAGTTAAAATCTCTAGATTCCTTCATCTTCTCCACATTTCTCCATCTTGGCAAAAGTCATGATTTTTCTCAGAAAAGGACAACATGGATGATTTCTGGAGCTGGGGATATAGCAGGTTCATTGTAGGCACAGGTACCTCACCCAACATGGCGAGAAAGGGTTGTGCTTAAGGAATACAAAGTGCATCAAACTCTTGCCATCTGTTTCTGCTTCCAGAACACTGGCAGATAGCACTTGCCCTCCAGACAGGAAGTTAGAGTCTAGACACCAGGCTGAATTGCTGAAGCAATGTGATTCAAGACAAATGTGACAAAAGCTACCCTTACTAAGGCCTAACCTCTGTTTACTCATCTTATTAAATTGAGTACAGAATATGCTAATCGGCCAGGTACAGATTCTTACCTGTCCTTGGCTTGTCCTGATCCTGGGTTGACAGAAGTTTCTAGGATCTCCTCCATTACCTTCAGCATAGGCTAGCTAAAGACATTCTTTCATACCAAAAAAATCATTTCTGCTTTGCTCTACACCTAAGGGCTACAGGTAGGTGATGTTGAGATAAGTAGCAACATATTTCGATCACATCAATATCAGACGCCCAGATGCCCTGTCCAGTGCACCAACTGTGCTGACTTCAATTTTTTGGCTCACAATCTTTCCCACTGGCTTCCCAAAAGAGACTCTCATCAACTCTCAAAAAATTAAAACCAGACTCCAGCCCAGAGATTGTTCAGCTTGTCAGCTCCTGGAAATAGTCAGATAGCAGGGACAATATTGCACTTTCTATACCAGTGAGACCGAGGCTACTGTTGAGATTTCCAAAAGCAACACAATATACTCTTTAAGGATTCACATCAAAGTATTGATCTAAAAGGCTCAGTTGTCAAAGATAAAGCAAAAATGCTCTGATCACACCTGGTCTATGTGTTCTACATAACACTGAAGACTTAGGAAACACTCTGAGAAACATAAAGACACAAATAACACCTCTCTGGGGCTCTTCTAAAAGAGTACACAAAGACAGCAAAGGCTGTCTCCTCCACATTACCTTGACCACCCAGCTCTGCCATCTAAGGGCTCACAGGGCATCAGTTGTGCTGCCAAACAAAAGTGGGATTTTTTGTGAGCACACAGGAAACATCCCTTGAAAAACCCCAAGCAGATTAGGTGACAGAGTGATAAAGACAAATCATCAAGAGCTGAGCTCTCAAATCAGATAAGTGAAGCTCAGACTCCAAAGCACACTAGTTATTCCCTCCACAATTTTATTACACATTAGAATTCACTTTCCTTAATCGCAAAATAAGCACTGTTAGAGTCACACATATTTTGATGAATAAATGACAGTCATTTGCTGAACAGATACTTAATAAGCATGTATTCCGGCTATATGCTGCATTGACCCTTAGGCTTCATCATTTAAAAAATATATTTTTTTAATTCCTTGCTTTTGTGGAACTTATCCTCTAAAAGGGAGTGTAAACAAAAAGTAAATAATTAATATATAAACACAGTAAATATAGAGTATGTTAGAAGGAAGTCCCATGGGGGAGGAGCTGGCTAAGGGGAATTAGGAGTTTAGAAGGGACAAATTTCACTTTTAAATAAGGCAATTAAATTAGGTTTCTTCATCGCAAAGAAAACAACTGAACAGAGATTTAAGGACTGAAGGCTTACAGAACAATGCAAATACACTGCTCATGATGTAAGTGCTTAATAATTATCATGTGTTGAGGAAGAGGAGGAGGAGGAGGGAGGAATAGAGTTTGCAGAAGTTCAAGGTCCCCAAGGAACAGATGAGTGGAGTGATGGGCTGTAAAATCTGGATTGTTCTTATGAACATAATGCCCTTTCAAACTAGTAACCACCACTTACTGAGCATTGCCCAGGTGTTTTGCTCGAAGGACATACAGCTGCCTATAACTTAGAGTTGGCAGGAATTTTAAGTGGGTGTGTCTGAGGCTGGAGCTTTGGGCCAACATATTGCTCTGCCTCTCAGTGAAGCCAGTGCAAACCTGGGTCATGTGGAGGAAAAGGGCAGGGAGCAGCAGGGCCAGAACTATGTATTATTCACTTCTGCACTGGACCATGCTGTCTCCCTGAGCAAGCCTATCCTGCACCTATGTAATGAGTCTCTGAAGTCTTCTAGAAAACAAGCTTCTGTGTATGAAATATGGGAAGCCATTGCGAATCTTCTTCTTGGATTTTTTTTTAATTGATTAGATACTCTTCAACCTACAGAGCCTTTCCCAAAGTGTGTTCCTCAGCACCCCAAGCCTAATTGATGTTACAAAATAAAAAGGAGGTCAGAGTTCTTAGATGTGTGTGAGGACTTAGCCTGTAGCCCCCACACAGTTCCTGGCATATGAAGAGACTCAGCAATACAGAGACTCCCAGAAGAAGCTGCGACCTTGTTTACCCAGGGCTCCACAGTTACACCTGACCACAGATGCCTTTTGTCAACTGACCTATGGGAAAAGTGAGGCTGCAATGAGGAGGCACACTCCGGCACAAAGGTTTATCAAAGGTCCCTCCCAATCTAATAAAAACATTTAGTTTTAATTTAAACTCAAAGTTCAGCTAAAAGGTCTTGTTGTGCATTAAAATGTTGAGGGAAAGATATGAAGGCCTTAGAACACGAGAAAACAAAACTGAGAAAGTTTACCCTGTGCTTTGGTTTCACAGAGTGATGGGCAGAAACTGAAACCAACAGACACTTTAGTGATGAGTTCCCCTTCTAGAGCCCTCTAACCCAGCAAGATTCTCAAAAATTTAAAACAAGCAAAGGCTACCCATCATAAAGCTTGGGGCAGAACAAGTCTCAGTCTCCTTAAGGGACACAGCAGCTGAAGGGCTCACATCAACACAAATACTAAAAGGAGAGAAGGCAGGACTCTTCCCCTCACCGACTCTGAGGCTGTGAAGTCTGCTTGCTGCATGAGAGACAACAAGGACTCGGCCAGCTCCAATACATCAAAAAATGGGGGAAGTAACACTAGGTGACATTCTCCATAAGAGATGAATCATAGTGTCAAAAAGTGCATGGTCTACTGCCCCTACAGACAGCATGACACCTCCTCCACCGAAACAGTGAGCCAGCAACAAATAGCAAATGTCACAGAAAGCAAATCTCTTACCCTTGAGTCCCTCCTCAGCTGAGGCTTGGGAGGGAGGAGGCCTACTGAGAATGCAGAAGTCATGAAAAGTCACACCATATGTGCCCTTTAGTACTTTATACATAGGCACCAAATTAAGTCTCCTTAGTGCCAAGTTCTAACCTAGGTTTCTTTTTAAAAGACTTGATCTTATTTAAGTGAATATCAAGGACAGCCTCAATCAGCCTAGTTAACAACATAAGCATTGGAAAGCAAAGGAGAGGAAAAGGGGATGTACACTGTACACAAATATGCACACACCTGTGCCCTCATTCCCTTAGCTACTATTTTATAAATAAAGAGGAGCAATAGAGCAGATAGTCAGTTTAAGCAAACCCACCTTGTCTGAGCACAGGTGGAAGAGGAGCATTAATGTGCTAAAGACAGATGAGCAATTAGGGCTCTTCTTGGATTATTCCCATGTCCCCTTCTGCTACTGCTCCATGTCACTGTACTGGTCGGCATTCTTAAGGTAGACACCTCAACCATACATAGGGTCCTAGGGTCAGCAAAGTAGTAACTGCCATTTAGAATTTTGCCAGCTCAAAGGTCTTTTAACTCAGGCCTTATTACAATATGGATCAATGAGGTTATCCCTGGGGCAGTCCTGCCGTCTTCACCACCACTGACACCACCACAATCCCTTCCTTGACCCCAAAATGAGTGTCCACGAAGAGGCACAAGTTAGAAGAGATGAATTCTATTACCACAGCATTCAAGGGCCTAGTGGATATGTGGCACATAGTAAATTAAGTGACTTTTTAAAATAACTTTATTTTATTTTTATGTAGTAAAAGGATCGAACCCAGTGACTCACACATGCTAGGCAAGTATCTGCCACTGAGCCACAACTCCAGCCCAATTAAACGACTTTCATTAAGTATTTGTTGTTGAAGGAAAACACAGTAATCTTCCTCTAGTAGGTAATGTGACAAATCACTTGAGAATTTGGTTAAGTTTTTCTTGTTTATGTACTTGGGTGAGATGAAGAGAAGAAAGAACTTCAAGAAGGGTGCACAGGTTTTGTCTTGTGATTTTTGTGCTTTAATTCTTCTTGGGTGCTGTGAATCAGGAATCTATAAATTGTATATGTTACTCTTACAAGGTACTCTCTTCCACATAATATAGAGCATGCTATATTATGCTCTTTTACAAAACAAGGAAGGAAAAGTAAATTCTTGAATAAAACTGAAATCTCAAAAGAACTGTACTAGGAATCTATAATGGCTCATTTCAATTGTCAACTTGACTGGATTAAGAGATACCAAGGATTAAGGGGGTTATAGGTGTGTCGGTAAGGGTGAATCTAGGAATAGTTGGCATGTAGGATAGCCAACTGAAATGGAGACCATCCCTAAGCAGTGGTGGCACCAACCAATAGGATTATGGC